GACTACGTGGGAGTCCAGCAACATAGCCATTACGCTCACTGCTGGTCCCAGTGTCACTCTTTCTGTGTGTTCTTGTAAAAATACGAATTACTGTTTGGCATGCATGTGTTCTTTTCATTTTCTAGTTCTCTTTGGTTTCCTCTTCTTTTTAGCCTCATTTTTAACTTTTTATTGGGAAATAATTTTGAACCTAGAAAACATTGCCAGATACAAACAGAACAAGGAACACACATGCGAGGTTTCTAAAGTCCATGGAAGATGAACTGTGAAAGAGTTGTACTGTGGAAAATGCTATGACTAGATTTCAAAAATGTGGCGGTATAGCCAGTGGCACGGTGGTTAAGGCGGTTGGATCCCACATGGCTGACTGCGTGTTCAAGTCCTGGACTTGGTGGCTTGAAAACCACTCTGGGTGTACATGTCTAAAATCTCAAGAGGAAGATGGAGGAGGAGGGATTGTGGTGTGACCATCCCCCATGGGGGATTCCTCACTTTCCCTCTCTATCTTTGTCTCTCTCTGATGAGCACGCAGGCCCTCTAGCAGAATTTAAAAACCAGATTTTTTTGGTACTAAAATCAACTCACGCTTTAATTTTGTATTTCCATGAACTCTCTGAAGTGCCTTAGTGTAATTTTTTTCGGCATCAGTTGAAGGACATACATATAGCTCTTTATTGCCAACGTCTGTGCTGTGGGTTTTCTGAGAACGTTCTCGAACATGGCCAGAGCATACTTACTAGCTTTGGCTGTTTGCATCGACACCTCACTTTCATCTACTATCCGTACCCTAATTTGGCTTACCTGGTCTCAACTCCTTCCAGCAGCATATGGGTGTACCTGTGGCTACAGACCCACTAACCCTCTATCTGGCTTTTACATTTTTGTTTTTAAGAATTATTGTATTTATTATTATTATTATCTCATTTGCCATAGGGCACGTGTGCTCACTAGAGAGACAGACGGAGAGAGAGGTAAAGTGAGAAAGCAAGCCGCCAGGTCTGGGTCTCGAGCTGCAGTGGACCATGTGGGAGTCCAACGCCTTAACCACCATGCCACCTGCTGGCTTTTACATTTTTTGCCAATCTAAGAGGTTGAAGAAAATACCGGGCCAGCAGGTAGTGTACTGGCTGAGGTGCTGAAGTTTCACAGGGCCAACGGCAGCTTCAAGTCCTGAACCCAGCAGCTTGAAACTCACGCCAGGTGCTCATGTGCGTGCTCAGAATCCCAAGAGGAGAATGGAGGAGGGATTGCAGCGTGGCCATGCCCCCTTGGGGCGGGGGGGGGGAGGTGATAGCAAAAAAAAAAAAAAAACCCTCTTGATTTATAATAATTTGCATTTTTCTCATTGACCGTCTCCATGCACTGTTGGCCTTGCATTTCTGCCTCTGACGACGGCCTGTCCACAGCCTTTGCATGTTGTCCCTTGTTCGGCCGGTTTCCTGGGGTCCCTGCGTATCCCTGACAGAAGCCTTGCACTGATTTCAGAAACTGCAGCTGTTACCTCCCAACCCGTCCTCGCTCGCTGTGTTTCTGGGTCAGACCCCTCAGTCTGATGCAGTCAGGTTCATCACCTTCATGCTTTACGGTTGTGTTCGGAGGTTTTGTTTACGGAGCCCTCTCCGGCCCCAGTCACAGGGTCTGTGAGCTTCCTGTTCTCACCTTTTGCCTTTGGGTCTTCGAGTGCTTCCAGCAGAGAACCCCGTTTTGCTTTCCTTGCTTCTCTTTCTAGTGGCCAGTTTCTACTCAGCAGCCCTTCCTCTCCCACTGAGCATGGCGGTTCCTTTGCTGACATGAAGTTCCTTTCTTATCCTATGGAGTAACCCAAGGGCTCCGCCCTTTCTCATTGGCGCATTGGTCTGTCCTTGCGTCACCACACTGTCCTCGTTACGGCTGTCACGTGTGTCTGGGGATCTGCCAGGACCAGTGGCCCTTTGCTGCTCTTCGAAGAAGGAGCCACTCACAGACCTTTCCTTTCTCTTTTACTTCTACAGGGTGCATGAGCTCATCAGGGAGACAGAGAGAGAGACAGAGACAGAGCAAGAGACAGAGACAGAGAGGGAAAGTGAGGAATCCCCGCAGGGAGATGGCCACACCACAACCCTTTCTCCTCCGTCCTCCTCTTGGGATTTGGAGCACACACACGCACCCAGTGTGATTTTCAAGCAGCCTGGTCTGGGACTCCAGCCATGCAGCTGGCCACGTGGCCTCCAGCCGCCTTAATCACACCACCTGCTGGCTCCAAGCTTTGCTCTTCTTTTTCAACTTTAGAATATGTTTATCAAGTTTCTTAAAAACTCAGACTTGGAAAATGAGTTTATAGATTAACTTTAAGAAAAACAACATCTCAGACATGTAGCTGTTCTACTGATGAGCAAGGGACGGTTCCCCATCTATGCCATTAGAGTTCACTGCACAGAGGCCTCGCGTGGTCTTAGGCAGGTTCATTGCTAGGTACTGGCAGGTTTTGCTCCTGAATATGTGACAGTTTGAGCATATTTTCTAGTTGGTTGTACTGAAATAGAGAAATGCTACTGGTTTGAAAAGTAACTTGTTTCGAAGTATTACATGCACACAGAAAGTGCACAAATTCGGGCCTAGCAGGTGGCACAGTGTTTAAGGCACTGGACTCCCACATGGTTGACCGTAGTTTGAGTCCTGGACCTGGTGGCTTGAAACTCAAGCCAAGCACATGTGTATGTGTGCCCCAAATCCCAAGAGGAGAATGGAGGAGAGAGGATTACAGCGTGGCCATACCCCTGTGGGGCAGGGAGGTGGGGGTGGGGGGCGATTTCTTGCTTTCTGTCTCTCTGTCTCTATCCTTTGGCGAGCACATGTACCCGAATAGCAAAAATCTCTCTCTCAAAAAAGCAAATGCGAGACCAGCAGTGGGGGGCGATTATGGCTATGTCACTGGCCTGCCATGTAGTTGACTGCGGTTCAAGTCCTGGACCCGGTGGCTTAAAATTCACGCCGGGCGTATGTGCGTGCGTGCCCAAGATCCCAAGAGGAGAATGGAGGAGAGAGGATTACAGCGTGGCCATACCCCTGTGGGGCAGGGAGGTGGGGGTGGGGGGCGATTTCTTGCTTTCTGTCTCTCTCTGTCTGTCTGGCGAGTGCACACGCCTTGTAGCAAAAACCTCTCAAAAAAAAAAAAAAAGCAAATGCACAGATTCTAAGTGTCTACTTCGAAGAATTATCACCCAGTGAACTCACCTGTGCTGTGGAAGCCCCACCCAGGACCAACAGTACAACAATGCCAGCACCCAGAGTCCCATCACTCCCTCTGCCCTCTCCCACAAAGCACCCTTATTCCTGACTTCTGACAGTGTAGACTTTTTAAACCTATTTATTTGTTTGTTTTTTGTTTTTGTTTTTGAGAGATTTTTGCTATAGGGTGTGTGTAATCGCCATAGACAGAAAAAACGTGAGAGATCGCCCCCTGGAGGATGGCTATGCCACAATCCCTCCTCCTCCATTCTCTTGAAATTTCGGGCACACACACAGGTGCCCAGCATGTGTTTGAAGCTGTCGGGTCCCGGACTCTAACCACTGTCAATTGTGTAGGAGTCCAGGGCCTTAGCCACTGTGCCACCTGCTGCTGCCCCTTACCCTGTTCTTTAATGTCACGTGATATCTGCTGTGGGTGTGTACCATACAGCGTTTAAAAGTGAAGAATCTCCTTTGTAAGTTTGCTAAGCCCCCCCCCATCGAGATGGGGGCAAGCCCCCTCGTGCACATTGGCTGGGGTGTCTAGGCCTGTCACTCTCTTTGTGGTGACTGTCTCCCTGGCACGCATGTTCCTGAAGTCTGTGGCAAGCCCTGGTGGTCAGAGGACTTAGACGCAAAGCACCATTGGCCCTGGGAGGTGAGCCTCCGGCTGGAGAATGAGCACGTGTGTGGCGGGGCCCTCATCGACCCCAGCTGGGTGGTGACCGCTGCCCACTGCATCCAAGGGTGAGTGGGGCCCTGCGGTGGGGGCCTGGAGACCAGGGCTGCAGCAGGCTCGGAGCAGCTTCCTCGCTTCCCTTTGAAACAGTGGGGGGCGTGCAGAACAGGTCTTGTGGGGGGCTGGGACTGAGCCGGGGCAGGAGCCCCAAGCAGCGGAGACTATACCCTAAGCTGGGCCACAGGAACGCCCAGATCACACCTCATCCACCCATGAGAACATACGTGTACACCCGCACCTGTGCACTCACACCTGCACACATATACCAGGCCACCTGGACTCGCCAGGAGCTGTGGATGAGGAGGCAGGCCGGGCTCTGGCTCTGCGGTGCCCTGGTGCGATTGGGCACAATGCCACGTGGAGCAGTCACTGGGCGCTGGCAAGGGGAGGGTGTCGCGGAGGGAGGGGTGTGCTCCTGCGGGGACCCTTCCTCCAGGTGGGACTCTGTGTCTCCCGCAGCACCAAAGAGTATTCGGTGTTGCTGGGCACCTCCAAACTGCAGACGGTGCTCGCCAGCAGGACCCTCTGGGTCCCCGTGAAGGACATCGTTATGCACCCCAAGTTCTGGGGCCGGACTTTCTTCAAGGGCGATGTTGCCCTTCTCCATCTTCACACCCCCGTCGCCTTCGGCAAGTTCGTGCAGCCCATCTGCCTCCCGGAGCCCGGCCTCCAGGTGAAGGTGGGGACACAGTGCTGGGTGACCGGCTGGAGCCAGGCCAAACAGCGCTTCTCAGGTGAGTGGCCGCGGGGCCACAGAGTCACTCCCTTCCTCCCGACCCCCCTCGTGCCTCCTGGGAAACATGTAGCCATCGCCTCCGGCCCTGCTGCTCGAGGGTCACTGCTCACGTGGCAACCACAGTCACGTGAGCACCTCATTCAGGCCCGCAGTCCCGGCGCCGGGCATAGCCACCAGCTCAGAGCCAGGGGTGTGTAAGTGCTCACGTTCACTTATTCACCCTGCCCAGGCCTTGGCGCTGACCCGCAGGCCCTGCCTGGGAAGTCACAGATGCGGGTGTGTGGGAGGCGGGCAGGGATCTGGGTGAGCTTGGGCGGAGGGAGCACCCTGAGATCCTGAGATGCCCAAGGCCTGATGGCGGAGGGAGCGCAGCTGTGAACGACGCTGGGCCTGGAGACCAGCAGTGTCTGGGTGCTGCCTACGCGGCTACGCTGGAACTCGGGTCGTGGCCTGCTTGGTGCAGGAGCAAAAGCTTCCCAGAGAAGGGGACCCCGAAGCAGAGTCTTAGAGGGTGGCGGGCTCGCCAGACCAGGTCCGGGACCGGGACAAGGGTGCTGAGGTGTGACAGGGCAGGCCTTGGCAGAGCGTCGGACAGAGAGGAGGGCTGGCCGGAGGCCAGGGCCGAGTGCGTGGGCAGCCAGCTGACCTGCAGGGCTCCCCACAGCCAACTCCACACTGACAGCAGAACTGCAGGAGGCCGAGGTGTTCATCATGGACAACAGGAGGTGTGACCGGGTTTACCACAAGGACTCCCTCTACCCCCGAGGTGTCCCCCTCATCCTGGGGAACATGATCTGTGCCACCAACTACAAAGAAAACCTGTGCTACGTGAGTTTTGGGGGCTCCTGGCTGCCACTGCCTGGGGGTGACTCCCGGTGGACGGCAGGTCCCCAGGGACAGGCCTCCTTGGCCTCCCTCCTTGCTTTTCCTGGGACTTAGATTTGGGCACTGTTCTGGGGTAGAGCCCCCAACAGATGAGCCAGAGGACTCTCTAAGCCGTGAGTCTGTGAGGCGGGAGAGAATCTTCCGAGCAGAAAGCAGAGGGCGGGCATTCTGGGACTCTCCAGGTCTGCCTGGGCCCAGAGCCTCCACACTCCTTCCTTTTTGTCCAGGGAGATTCCGGGGGGCCCCTGGCCTGCGAAGTCGAGAGCAGATGGATTCTGGCTGGGGTGCTGTCCTGGGAGAAGGCCTGTGCCAAAGCACAGAACCCCGGTGTGTACACTCGCGTCACCAAGTACACCAAGTGGATCCGGGAGCAGATGGGCAGCGGGGCTGTCCTGGGCCCCTGCCCCTCTGCCTGGGCCCTCCTCCTGCCCCCGCTGCTGCGGCCGCACGTGGGCCCCTGACCCCCGCCCCTTCTCGCCTGCCGTGCCAGCGCTGAATGGGACCAGATGGAAGTTTGACCAAGGTCATGTGTCATGGCCAATGAGAGAGGTGGGGAGAGTCCCGGGGAGGCGGGGTCTTCTTCTGCAACATCCCATGGGGTGGCATGGTGGGTGACTGGGCTTCGGGTGACCAGGAGGAGGGAAGCGTGACCTAGGAAGGTTCTAGAATCAGGACTAGAACAGTGGGGATTAAATCTATGCAAACATGAGCTGGCTCTTTTCTCGTTTCCGTTCTGGGGCAGCCCTGGGGCTTGGGGAAGGTGGCAGGGCAGGGCCTCCTGGAGTTAATTCAGCCAGAGGCTCCCCAGGGAAGGGCCTGTTTGCTGTATGACTCGAGCTGGGCGTCGGGAAAGGACCTGAGCTGCGGCATGGCTTTGCTCTTCCGTGAGGCAAGCATGTACTCACGGCGCAGCTGGAAAAGCCTCAGGCTGATAGTGGCGTGGCCCACGGGTGGCACCCAAATCGGCTTGCTTTCTCTTCTTCTTTCGACTGATGACAGAAATATTATGCATTCGTTGTAGAGAATCAGGAAACACAAGAAAGCCAGAAGAAGGAACATCTGGCCCAGCCATGGTGAAGCCGGGAAGGGCCATGGCATGGCAGCTGAGGTCACATGGGAGGCCCGGGTTGGGTTCCCAGTCCAATCTGAACAGGCACAGATCTCTGACATCTTAAAAATGCTCTTTTATAGTTAACACCCTACTCAGGTTTCCCACCTCTTTTTGAGTTAATTTTAGTACATTTTCCCGGAAATCATTTAATTCAGCCTAGATTTACAAATTTCAAACAACTGTGTAGAATTTGTACCTATGGCCCCTTTTTGATTTTAATATTATTTATATAAGTAAATAATATTGTTCTTAATTGTTATAGATTACAATTGCCTAATTTTTTTCTACTTACAGATTAAAAAAAATGTGGTTGACTTTCTTTAAAAGAGATTTTTGCTATAGGGTGCATGCACTTGTCAGAGAGACAGAGACAGAGAGAAAGAAAGTGAGAAATCGCCTCCCGCTGACCCCCACACCATGGGGCTGGCCATGCCACAATACCTTCTCCATTCTCCTCTCAGGATTTTGGGCATGCACACACATGTGCCCAGTGTGAGTTTCAAGGCTCTGGGTCTAGGACTCAAATCATAGCTGGTCATGTGGGAGTCTGCTTTCTTTTTAAAAATATTGGGGCCAGCAGTTGGCATAATGGCTATGTCGCTGGACTCCCATGTACTCAACTGCAGTTCAAGTCCCGGATCCAGTGGCTTAAACTCACACTGGGCACATGTGTGTGCATGCCCAAAATCCTGAGAGGAGAATGGAGAAGGGATTGCGGCGTGGCCATCCCCCCTGGGGGGTGATTTCTTGCTTTCTGCCTCTCTGTCTCTCTCTCTCTGTCTGGCGAGAGTATGTGCCCTATAGGGAAAACCTCTCCTCCCCCAAAATTATTTTACTTATTTAATTTACTGTAGGGCACATGTGCTCATCAGGAAGAGACAGCAAAAATGACAAACCAAGTCACCAGGTCCAGGACTCAAACTACAGTTGACCATGTCAGAGTCCAGCACTTTGACCACTATGCCACCTGCTGGCCTGACTTTTTAAAGTTTACCTCTTTCTCTTTCTTCTTTCCTTCCTTCTCTCCTTTCTTTCTTCTTTTTTGAGAGATTTTTGCTATAGGGCATGCATGCTCCCCGGAGAGAGAGAGACAGAAAGCGAGAAATCACCCCCCCAGGGGGGATGGCCATGCCGCAATCCCTTCTCCTCCATTCTCCTCTCGGGATCTTGGGCACGCATGCACACGTGCTCAGTGTGAGTTTTAAGCCCCCAGGTCCAGGACTCAAACCATGGTCATTTACATGGAAGTCCTGCGACGAAACCATTGCGCCATCTGCTGGTCCCGTATTTCTTTCTTACATGACAAAGAGGCAGAGAGACAGGAGCCCAGCAGGGTCTTCGTGCTGAAACCCATCCCTGGTCCCAGATGACGGGGCATGTGCACAGGGGCATGATCCTGGAGGTTCTGCGACCGGAACCCAAGCATCTCCCAGGTGGTCCAGTTGTGAGTTACTGCTGTATGAGCACCAGGCCATCCATGTGTAGCTTTTCAGGAGGTAGCTACCCACCCTCCCACTTCCCTGAATTACCCGGCCCCGCTCAGGGGCCACACCTGTGTCTGTTGCCATGTTCTCCACGGCAAAGCCGTCCCTCTCCCAGCTCCTTGGAGGGGGCTCGTGGCCTGATCTAGCTGGCAGCTCCCAGAGTGCCAGCCCCCCGACCCCAGCAGGCACGGACCCGGGTTGTCCCTGGCAACACGAGGAGGTTAAGACCACCCTTTTTCTGAATGTGGACGGCAAAGCCGAAGCGGGAGCGTGTGAGCTGGTAGCTACCACTTTCAACGAGGGACCAACTCAGGGTGTCGCAGCCTGCACTGAAGGCAGAGAGAGGGGACGGAAATCCTAAGTCTACTTGAGCGGAAAATCCTGTCACCTGGAAACTCCTAAACGGTGCGAGGTAACTTACTTTAGTGACTCCAGCCCTCTCCTTTGGGGATTTCCCTCATTATTCTTTTGCTAACCTTTTGGGTAGTATGTTTAGTTCATTATTTCAGACGGCTTTGATCTCTAACGTCGTCACTAATTCCGTAGATCCCCGGGTCCTACGGTCACGCTGCACAGGACTGGACATGGGCTGGCCTCTGTCACTCACTTGTACATCGTTTACAATGGCATGTCACACTGTATTTCATGCTTAAGTTACACAGAAGGGTGTTATTTAGTTGGTAGTTCTGGGGAGGGACAAGGATGCCTCCTCTTTACCGATGTTACTAGACGGGTTTAATGGTCTGCATTTTGGAGTTGACGGAGATTTTATCTGTGGGCTGATAACAGTCAGCTCTCATTGCTGTTTCACGGGTGTCTAACATGAACGTGTGCGCTTTACAGTGAAGGCTGGAGTAGCTTGTTGGTTGTGTTATTCAAATCCTCTCGACGCCTCAAATATTTTAGGTCTACATAATCTGTTGACTTCTGAGGGGCTTACCACAATAATTAAGAATTTATCGGGACCAGCAGTTGGCGTAATGACTATGTCACTGGACTCCCATGTAGTCGACCGCGGCTCGAGTCCCAGACCTGGTGGCTTAAACTCATGCCGGGTGTATATGTGTGCGTGCCCAAGATCCTGAGAGGAGAATGGAGGAGAAGGGATTGCGGCGTGGCCATCCCCCCTGGGGGGTGATTTCTTGCTTTCCGTCTCTCTCTCTTTCTCTGTCTTCCTGGCAAGCACACGCACCCTATAGCAGAAACCGTTAATAAAAAAAAAAAGAATTTATTACTTAAGAAATACTCCTTTGGGACCAGCAGATAGCATAATGGTGACATTGCTGTACTCCCACACGACTGACTGTGGTTCGAGTCCCAGACCCAACGGCTTGAAACTCACAGTGAGTGCGTGTGCTTATGTGCCCAAAATCCTGAGAGGAGAAGGGATTGCAGTGTGGCCATCCCCGCCGAGGGGTGATTTCTCGCTTTCTCTCTCTTTATCTCTACAGCGAGGGCATGTACCCTGTAGCAAAAAATCTCTCTGAAAAAAAAAGAATTACTTTTATTCTTTAAAAGAATTATTTTATTTATTTATTATTATTATTTTAAATTTGCTATAGGGCACGTGTACTTACCAGAATGAGACAGAGAGAAAGAAAACAAACTGCCAGCCCCAGGACGGCAGCTCGAGTGCAAACTACTAACAGAGCGGCCTTTAGGGAAGTGATTGTGGATTTCCTAGCTGTGTAATGTAGTTGTTTCTTAGGTGGGGTTTCTCTTTGGAGAATATTTCATATTTTAACATTTCTTTTTAGGTTTTCGCAATAGGGTGCATGTGCTCACTGGAGAGAGACGGAGAGAGAAAGTGAGAAGTCGCCCGGGGGATGGCCGTGCTGCAGGCCCTTCTCTGTCCTCCTCTTGGGATTTTGGGCACGCAGGCACAGCTGTCCACTGTGGTTTTTCAAGCCGCTGGGTCCAGGACTTGCACCATGTGGTCGGCCATGTGGGAGCCCAGTGCCTTAACCCCCAGACCAGCTGCCGGCCCAAGTTTCGTCTTTTTTCTTTCTCCCTCCTCCTCTGTCTTTATCTCTCCAAAGCCTCACATTGAAGGGCTAGCCCCTTCCTTGCCTCTACCACATCCCCCAAAACTTGCTTTGCCTGACGTTCACTCTCGCGCAGTACAGACTCCTCCACATCTGACTACCCACAATGAGATGCGCATCCAGCTCTGTGTGCCGCGTGGCATCGGGGTGTGAGTCCCCGGAGCACCCTCCTGCGCCGGGTGGCTGCGGGTCATTTCCAGCCAGGGCTCTTCCTGCCAACTGGGTGTGTCTCCGCGGCGTGTGTGCCCTCTCCGGGTCACAGGAGTGAAACCTCGGCCTGGGGGACAGGCCCGCCTCTGCTCTGACGATCCAAGCGGTTTGCTCATGGTAGGGCCAGCTGGTCTCCCACGTGAACCTCACCAACACCAGCAGTGGGATGGAGCAGGAAGGGGGTCCTCGTGGACAGCAGGGGAGCATGGAGCCTTGGGAGAAAAAGGGAGGGACCCCGAGGTGGGGGCGGTGTCCTGAGCTCCCTGTCATTCTTTCTGCTGAGCCACTAAGACCCACACCCCCAGCTGCTTCCTGTGGGAGGCCACCTTCCCGGGCCAAACCTATCTGGCCACTGCCTACCACGAGCTGCAGCAGACACAGACCCTGGGGGAAGGGAGGCCCCAGTTCCCCATCACTCAGGAACTAGTCAGCCCCCTCTCAGGGCCTCATTTCCACACTTCTGGGGGCCACCAGGGAGCTTCAGGAAGGAGCCTGGGCTGGACCCTGGGGGTGCGCGCTGTCCTGTTGTTGGGGACCGGACATGCAGTATGCGGCCGGCTAAGAGCGAGGGCACCAGCAGGCCAAGGCTGGGCATCAGTGCGCTGCTGAGAGCTGAACCCCAGAGGTGGCGCCGGAGCCCGGTTCCTGGAAGTTTCCCAATGGCAGGTGGTCTCAGGGTTCTGCCCCCCAGTGGCGGGTGTGCTCGGTTTTCGGCGGGGATCTAGCCACAGAGTCCCGGAGCCCCTGAGGCTGGTAACTCCCCAGCCCTGCTGTCCCGAATAAACAAACCGTAAGTTCTAGAACCCTCTGCAGTAGGCCCCGCCCACACCCACTCTGCCCCCACACCCCTTCCTGAGGCTCAGGGAGGGCTGGACATCCACTCACCATGGCATGTGGGCCGGGAGAGCTCCAGGCCCCTCCCCAGCCTCCAGTTTCTTCTGCCAGATTTGGGGAGCAGCTCCATTCTGGAGGTAGGGCTTCGGGACAGGGGACAGAGATAGGAGGGGCTGGTTGCCCAGGTGCCCATGCCATTGTCCTCGGACCTGAAGGGCCATTTGTTCTGTGTCCTGTTGGGACATCCTCAGAGACTGGAGACCCACGTGGGGCCAGAACGGTTCCAGTTCCCAGGATCTCCTCTCGGGATCTTGGGCACGCACGCACATACACCCCTCAGGCTGGGGACAAGCTGGCACCCATGGAGCAGTGAGCATGGTCGTGGAGAGCCAGGATGTGGGGGAGGGTGTGACGTGGGTGTGCACTCGCCCTGCGGCACGCAAGCCAGGGCCCCAAGGGGCGGGCTTCCACGCGCCTCGCCTCAGGCCCGCATAGGGAAGTGTGAGTGGAAGAGCCGGAGCTCCACAGCGGTTTTCAGTAGACTCTGGGCGTGCCTGGGACCCCCGGGGACAGAGGGTCTCCAGGTTCCCCCGCACCTGGCTACCACAGGCGGTTTCCCTGAAAGGTCTTTTTCTTCTTAGTTTTGCGTGCACTTACCAGAGAGAGACACCACGACAGAAAGTGAGAAAGCACGCCCCAGGGGCGGGCCATGCCACAGTCCCTTCTCCTCCACTCTCCTCAAGGGACTCTGGGCACGCACTCACACGCACCCGTTGCGTTTTTCAAGCTGCTGGGACCAGGACTCAAACCACTTAGCCACATGGAATCGGCTGCCTTAACCATCATGCCACTGGCTGTCCCATCCACAGGTGAACTTCGTGGTGGCAGCCCTGGCTTGTGTCACCTGCTAGCTGCCCATTCTGTGGTGTCACCAGTTCAGGGACCTGTCCCCTTCCACCTCTGAGTGGCCCTGTCCTGGTCAGTGCCTTGCCAGCCGACTGAATGACGGACTGAACGGCATCGGCCACCGCGGATTGCGCTGCGCGCTCTCGGGCGTCGGGGACGATCGGGAGGTGTGCACGTCTGCAGCTGCCAGCTGCCGCGTGCCTGATGATGGTGGGGTGGCCGTGGGCTCCGATCTCTGGGGAGAGTGGTCTGCAGTGGAGTCTGTGTGAACCAGAGCGTTCACTCTGTATGGAGTGACAACCCTATGCCAGGGACAGGGGTGACTTGTGACACTCGGCACCCCCAAATGATCCATCATGGCCCCAGATTTGACAGCTATCCCGGAGCTGCCATCTCCAGACTCGATCCCGCACACCCTGGGTAAGGTCTGGGGAGGAAGTTAGGGCCAAGGCGGTCCTGGCCGGAGTTCTGTTCTTTGGGACCTGAGGCACCCACTGAGGGTGCGGAGCACAGAGGCAAAGCCCCACCCTAGCCCCTAGAGCTGTCACTTTGCAAGGAGTAGAGCTCTGCAGGACCCTCGCTGTGCGCATGCAGCTTGGTGGAATAGCGAGGGCCAGCCCCTGTCCCAGTGCCCTCTCCTCCCTTCCCACGTGGAGTGGCCTCGGCTGGGCAGACCTTCCCCGAGACAATAGACCTCCACCATGGCATGGAGGACTGGGGCTGGGGCTCCCCCTTGGGGTCGCAGAGAGCAGGACAGCCATGGAAAGGGCCGCGGACTGGACCAGCAGCGTGCCATCCAAGGAGGTGGGGGAGCCTGGAGGGCCTGTGGGGCCCTCTGAAGGCCACTGGCTGGGGCTGAAAGCATCCGCCACAGGACATGTGACCAGGAACTGGCCACTTACATCCGACGGTCCCGGGAGCTCTTGGGCACACGGTATGAAGCCCACATCAGCCTGTGATCCCCGCGGGTGTCCATGGGGCAGGCCCGCAGATGTCTCTGCAGGTACTGAAGAGTCACTGTGGCCAGGAGCCCTGTCTGCACCTGTGGCCCTCTGCCACCTCTCCCTCTGCTGACTCCCCCAGGCAAGGACACACAGGCCTTGGCTACTGCTGCCATGGGCCTGCCACTCTGCTCAGCCCTGCACACTCATGGTTCAAGTCCTGGGCCTGGTGACCTGAAAAACATGCCGGGCGCGTGTGCATGCGTGCCCAAAATTCCGAGAGGAGAATGGAGGAGAAGGGATTGTTGCGTGGCCATCCCCTGGGGGGTGATTTCTTCCTTTCTCTGTCTCTCCCTCTCTGCTTCTCTGCTGAGTGCATGCATACTCTAGGGTAAAAATCTAAAAAAAAAAAAAAGAGAGAGAGTAACCAAATCTACATGCTGATAGCAGTTCGAATTCCCGGCCTGGTCAGCCCAAAACACCAGGCACACCCACGAGTGCCCAGGATCTGATGGGCTGGAGGACTGCAGGGCTGCAGGAGGGGAACGGCCCCCACAGCCAGACCCGGCAGGGGGAGCTCCTCACTCAGTCTCACATGGTCACGTTCTGTCACGGATCGAGGACATCTCACTCTCATCCCCAACTCAGTGTGGACTCCTCTCCCCCGACCCCTGCCGTCGGAGCCAGGGAGAGGCCAGGAGGGAGGGGCAGCACCTCGACTCACTCCCTTGTATGGGGCAAAGACCAGACCTCCAGGGGCATGGTCTGGGTCAAGGTACCCTGGGTTCGCACAGCGCGACATCACTCACTGTTCATTTCTGTTCGGTGACACCGCCGGGCAGCCCTGCCCACGTGTGCCCTGGCTGACACTCGTCCCCTGCCGGCGCTTTCCTATCCTCCGCTCCCAAGCCAGCTGGGTACATGCTCTGTGAACTGAGGCCTGGGGCTGATGTGTAACGAGCCTAGGAGGGTCGTCTGGCCTAGTGTCTGGGCACCTGCTGCTTCTGGGTCTTGGTTGTTTCAAGGTGGCGGAAAAGATAGTGAAGGCTTCTTGTGACAGGGTTGGGAGGGGACTCTGCCTCCATGTCTGCTGTGCCGGGATGGGGGGGGGCTGCCCTTTGCTGCCTGAGCGCCTGAGAGGGGCCCCTCCTCTCCTTTCCTCAGGGCCCTGGTTCCAGGCCTGTGGTCAGACCAACGTGACCTGCAGGGTGGTGAAGGGGAGGCTGGTGGAGGTGGGCAAGTGGCCGTGGCAGGCGAGCATCCTGTACCTGGGCGTGTACATCTGCAGCGGCTCCCTCATTCACCAGCAGTGGGAGCTCACGGCCGCGCACTGCTTGCAGAGGTCAGTCGGGGTGGCCCGCAGCCAGGGACATACTGGCAGAGAGGGTGGAGGGTGTCCTGGGGGGTATGGGCGTGGGGGCCCGGCTGGGTGGCCTTGTGCTCTGCCCGCCCCCCATGTACACCTCCTGCTCGTCACCTGCCTCCTACCCGGTGGCTCTACAGATCCAAGGATCCCACACTGTACTCTGTGAAGGTGGGAGTCCAGAACTTCCTTGAAAACGGCACGCAGATCCCGCTGTCCCGCATCGCGGTCCACGAGAATTTCAGCAACCTCATGACTCAGGACATCGCCCTCCTGAAGCTCAAGACCCCCATCTCCTGGTCCCCCGCTGTGCAGCCTGTCTGCCTCCCCAACATCAAAACGCAGCTGACCATCGGGTCCACGTGCTGGGTGATCGGGTGGGGACTCGCGGAGGGCAAAAGAACCAAAGGTGAGGGGCCTGGGACACCCTCCTCTCCAGAACACTCCCCAAGGCGGGCTCGTTTGGTCACCCCTTTATTGGCTCACTCAGCACTGGCATTTCCAGCAAGCCAGATGCAGTCCCCATCTCTTGGGCAGAGGGACTCAGTGCTGTAGTGTGAGAGACGGATGTGGCCTCCTGAGCCTCGGCTCCAGAGTGTAGTTAAATTCTGGCCACGCATCACCCCACAGCGTGGCAGGAATTTCTCTTTGACTATGAATGGCATTCCCTCTAGGTGGCACCAGGGCCATGACCTCAGGAGGTCACGAGATGGCCTCCAGCCACCACACACGCCCATTACCTAGAAGCAGGCCTGGGCCCTGCTGCTGCTCCCCTGGGTCCTCGAACCTGGGAGCATGTGTGGGGTCCTCCTATGGGGTCCCATGCGCTGGGCTCCAGGGTCTTGCTGCTTTGCCTGGGGGCGGGGCACAGGGCAGTGCTCCCCCTCCTAGAAATTGAGCTGTTGGGGGACTCTACATCTTCTTTGGTGCCTGGATGTCACCTACGAGCCCTTTGGCTAGTTCTGCTTAGTCATTCGTCTTTGGTGCCTGGATGTCACCTACGAGCCCTGTGGCTAGTTCTGCTTTTGTCATTCAATGACTAGGGGCTAAAACGTGGGGCACAGGTACTCTACGGAGCACTGCTCAGCCATCAAAAGCAAGGCCCTGGCATCTGATAGGAAGCGGTCAGACACGGAGGGCCTACTGGTGAGTGAAGCGAGCCAGGATATGAAAGAAAGGTATTGTATGTGTCCACTTAATGTACACCGGCTATCCGCACTCTACGGCAGAGATCGAAATACCGGAGGGCATAGAAGCAGAGAAAATAGCGATGGTAGACAGGGAGGAATGGGACGGGGAGAAGGGGAGAGCGTGGAGGGGAGCAAGAGAACAGAGAGGCATGACCTTAGTGGGACACCGAAATGGTTTATCACCTGTTGATGACATGTGTAGTATTCTCTACTGGACTGGTCTGAGAGGTATTTCATGGTGGGCGAAGTCTTTTTACTAGCAAAAAGATAAATAGTGATTGTTTTTTAAAAATCATTGGAATAATAATCTGGAAAAAAATAATGAAAAGCTGTTTGATGATGATAATGTGGATTTTAATGTTTTTGTATCGACTGATATGCATGGTATTCCTTCTGGAAAAAGAAATGTAATACGCTGAAAAAAAATCAATCAAAATAAATAAGTGAAAAATAAAATAACATGGGACCAGCAGTTAGCATAATGGCTATGTCACTGGACTCCCATGTAGTTGACTGCAGTTCGAGTCCCGGACCCGGTGACTTAAACTCACACTGGGCGCATGTGTGTGTGTGCCCAAAATTCCGAGAGGAGAATGGAGGAGAAGGGATTGCGGTGTGGCCATCCCTCCTGGGGAATGATTTCTCACTTTCTGTCTCTATGTCTCTGTCTGGTGAGCGCATGTGCCCTATAGCAAAAACCTCTCAAAAAAAAAGGAAAAGAAAATGACTAAGGGGCTTTCTCAAGTCAGGCTGTGGGCCGAGGCCTTTATGAAGCCCATCCCTAGAAAGGGCACCCCCATTAGCGATGTGGGCAGCTCTGAGCTGGACTGGGTCGAAAGTCCGGGGGGTGAGGAGGCAGCTCTCTCTCCTCAGTGACCCCGAAGTCCTCCTACCACCACCTTCAGGAGATGTCCGTCAGGATCCTGAAGAACGACGTCTGCAATCAGCGGTACCAGTTCCTCTTCCTGCAGAGCCAGAGGGAGTTCGTCGGGAAAGACATGCTGTGTGCGAGCTCCGAGTGGGGCCAGGACACCTGTCAGGTGCACGGTGTGGACGGGGACAGGGAGGGGCGTGCAGGGCTCATGCCTGCCTTTTCTCGTGGCCTGGGAGCCCGTGTGGAAACCTTCCCGGCCTGTAACGGGTGCGGTACACTCTGTCCCTTTCACCACGATGGTGACAAGGCAGTGCTTCTCAGGGCGTCCACACTCTTCCAACGTCAGTTGCCCCCGTTCTAGGTCAGGTGTCGGCAGAACCCGTTTTGCTCAAACGGCGTTACCCTGCAAGCGCGGTTCTGCCACTCACATCTTCCGGTCAGTCCATACTGATTCATGCGGCTCTAGGGCATTAATTATATTCCCCTCAGATTTGGAAATTTTCATTTCCACATTTTGAATCCACATGGCTTTCATTTTACAAGTGACATAAGGTAGAGATCTATATTTATTTCCTTCCGTGGGCTACCATCGTCCCAGTGTCATGAAGAAACCACCTCACGCTCTGGCGACATATCCGCCCCTCCCATCTATCGAGCTCCTGCATACACGGGTGCAAACTCCTTGAGTTGGGTACCTAGGTCATTTACTTTTGGTCTCTCTGCCTTTCTTTCTTTCTTTCTTTTTTTGGGGGGAGAGAGAGATTTTTGCTATAGGGCGCATGCACTCGCTAGAGAGACAGAGACAGAAAATGAGGAATCATGCCCGTAGGGGGATGGTCATGCCACAGACTCTTCTCCTCCATTCACCTTTTGGGATCTTGGGCAAACATGCACATGTGCCCAGTGTGAATTTTAAGTCACCGGGTTCAGGACTCAACCTGTGGTTGAATACGTGGGAGTCCAGTGATGTAACCATTATGCCATCTGTTGGTCCTGATCTCTTTGCCTCTCTAATCCAAGTGTTTAATCTACAGATTTCTCTCTAAATATTACTTTAACTTCATGCTCTACATTGTAAGAAAATATTTATTTATTTAATTTTATTTGTTGTTATTATCTTTTTTGATTTGACAAGTGAAGAGAGAGGAAGTGAGAGAGCAAGCCGCCAGGTCTGAGACTTGAACCATAGTCAGCCATGTGGGAGTCCAGCATCTTACTGCCATGCCACCTGCTAGCCCTCATGCTCTACATTTTGATATGTAATATTTTTATTATTACCCACTTCTAAGTATTTTACATCATTTCCATTTTGATTGCATTTTGACCCATGCTTTTTTTTTGTTGTTGTTAATCTCCATTGCAGTTTCCCCGTAATTATAAAATTAATTCTACAGCAGTATCCGTAATGTGGAACATATGAAGGCTAGTTTCTGGTGGCCCAGTATGAGATGAAAATTTTGAGCATTTATTTCAATTTTTTAAAATTTCTATTAATATGTCTGCTTACCTTGGGCTGGATTTGGTTTTCTTTTTATGTCTGTTTGAGCAGAGAAGTTCACTCTTTCTAGTTTTCTGTGTAAAGCAATTAAGGCCATGAAATCACCTTTGATTTGAGCTTTAAAATCACCTCTCAAATTTGACTGTTGTGATTCCATCATTAATTTATTTTAATATATTATGTTTTGTCATTTGGAATGAAAGATGACTTTATGCTCTTAGCAAGATGAGGTTGGAGGAAGTGGAAGCTCGAGGGAGAGAAGGGACTCCCCAGAAATCCCGCTTCTCCATATTTGTTATAATTGAATGGTCTAAGAATAATATTGTCCAAGGGACCAGCAGTTAGCGTAATGGCTATGTCACTGAACCACTGAACTCCCATGTAGTCGACTGTGGTTCGTGTGTGTGCGTGCCCAAGATCCTGAGAGGAAAATGGAGGAGATGGGATTGTGGCATGGCCAGCTCCCCGGGGGGTGATTTCTCGCTTTCTGTCTCTCTGTCTCTGTCTTTCTGGTGAGTGCACACACCCTATAGCAAAATCCTCTCCCCCCCAGAAAAGAATAATGTTGTCCCCCCAAATATCACGTGAGGATTTTGGTGGAAATGAATAGATTAATTCAGGGAAAACAAGCTCTTTTTATTTTTTACTATTTCTTTATGCCCCTAGAACAGGAGTTTCTGGTTTTCCCCGTAGTTACTGTGTGCTGCTTGCATTTATTCCTAGACATTACATGCTAAGTCCTTGTTGGGAGCAGGATATTTGGTTTGTATTAGAGGTTTTGTGTATTTGCTTTATAAGTGATCTTCCTGGGCCTCGTTGATTTGCCTCAGTGGTATGGGCCTAGACACATATCATCTGCAAAAAATAATCAGTCTGCCTCCTTTTCAATATGTGTGCTTACTTCTTTTTCTTGACTAATTGCAATGTATAGAACTCTATTCCAGAATAATTGATGTCTTCCAGGAGAGGTGCCATTTAGTGCTAGGTATGTCTCTTATAAAAGTCCTAAAGTTGGGTGCTATTTTTTTCCCAGCCCAGAAGGTCGCTTGTTTGTTTTTGTTGTCTCCTCTCCACACCTCCACCTTGTGCTTTGGTTTGATAGTTTTTCTTTCGCTCTATTTTTCTCTTAGTGGTTTAGAAGTTACAAGTGTAAATTTCTTTCTGTTGCTGGTCACTGTAGATTTTATACATATACATTTAAAATTGGAATTAAGACCAAGAGTTAATCAATGTCCACATCCTCCTTAGCAGGACTAACCCTTCCTGCATGTTCACATTCTTTGTTTCCAACCCCTAGATTCATCCTCTTGTTGAAAATATCTGGGAGTAGGGCCAGCAGGTGGCGTGGTGGTTGGAGCATTGGATTCCCACATGGGCGACCACGGTTCGAGTCCTGGACCGGGTGGCTTACTTTCTCATTATCATTCTGCCTCTCTCGTCATGTCTCTCTCTGGTCGAATTGAATCATCATCATCATCATCATCAATTAAATAAAATATTTTTTAAAAAAAGAAAAGAAAACATCTGGGAGTTCAGCTGACCGAATTCTTATTTTATCTGATTTTAGCTGACTTAGACTTCCCAGGCCATATGTCTCCATACGATTTGCAGTTAGGAACGATTTCATATCTTATTTGCACAATATCGACGTTTTCATTGGTCTGGGTACCTCTCCCCAGAACAGCCTGGGAGCATGGCATCGCGGCTCTGCGTTTCCCCGTGGCCGACCTACCCGGCCCTGCGTCTCACACTCGACCGCGAAGCTCTCCGCGGTCACATGATCTGTTGAGGAGAGAGCCGCTCCTTTCGATTGTGTGATGGCCTTTTATCTCAGGAATGAATGTTCTGCTTTATACACGTGTTTCACACGCCTCTCCGGATGGCTTTGTGTTCTCACTGCATGTGCTGAGTCAGTTCGGTGACCTCCACTCACCCCGCATTCCAGGATCCTCCTCCCGGGTCACGGTGTACTTCTGTTTCATTCATCTGTTGGATGCACAGTTTTTTTAAGAATGTGTCTTAATCACTTTATTTATTCCTCCAACAGAAACGGTGGCTGCTGGGCCCTGGGCCCGGCGGGAGACTACGGCAGCCCAGGAATGGTCCTTGGCCTCGGGGAGTCAACAGTCCCTTGAGCACGGTCCACATGGCACAAGCCTGACAGCCTTCTTTTCTTTTTCTTTTTGCCTCCAGTGAGGCTGGCCTCCTCTCTAAGATGTGTAGGGGACGCCACCTCCTTTGTTAGCTTCTAGTCTCATCACGATGCCTCATTTGAAAAGTATTTGGCCATGCTCTGGACCATCCGGGAAAGAATCTAAATGACCTCTCCTTTGAACACGGAGTAGAAGCTGCCTTTGAAACCACAGAGGCCTGTTTTCCTTCGTGGTTGTCCTTGGGCAGTATTTTAAGATGTTTTGCCCATCGTTGTCGGACTTGTCAGCCTTTCTGCCGCTCTTGGAATCAGCTGAGCTGCTTTGTGTTTTCTTAGAAACTACTCGTTCCATCCAGAATTTAAGCCCATAAAGGAGAAGTTGTACACAGCCCTGGCGATCCTGAGAGAGTGTACTTCCCCTGGACGTGGCTCCAGCCTTTTTCCGACTCAGGCCTCCAAGTATTTGCATTCCCCTTCTCTTTCTATTTTTCTTGGGAAGACTTAATAACGTATTTATTTTGTTGTTGTTGTTTTAAAGAATAAGCTATTGATTTCATTCAAGTCTGTGATTTTTCTGCTTTCTAAATGTATGAATTATCCCCTTTGGTCTTCAGTCACGCCTTTTCAAATGGCTTCAGCTGAATGCGCAGTGATCAATGATCGATGGCAATACATCGTTTATTCTCGTTTGTTCTTACCTTGTGGGACAGTGGCTGGCTGTGTGGGATCCGGCTCCCTCTGCTCAGTGATTGACCTCTGGGTCACAAGGCTGGCTCTGCTTCTTATTTTGAAAAATAAGTTGGGCCAGCAGGTGGCGTGGAGGTTAAGGTGCCAGATCCCACATAGCCTAGTCTACAGTTTGAGTGCCGGACCCAGCAGCTTGACGATCATGCTGGGTGTGTGTGCCTATGTTCCCACAGTCCTGAGAGGAGAATGGAGGAGAAGGGATCGCGGCGTGGCCATCCCCTCTGGAGGGTGATTTCTCGCTTTCCCTCTCTCTCTCTGGGGAGTGCACATGCCCTATGGAAGTACCTAGTGTGTGTGTGTGTGTGCGTGTGCGTATGTGTGCTTTATCCCAAGTTGTAAAGACATGGCCCTATATGTTCTTACTGGTGTATCTTTTTTGACTTTTCACATTTAGAGTTTTAAGTCCTCTGGAATATTATGGCAGGACGACCCAGCTTCGCTCATCTCTGTCTGGTGAGCTAGTCTCTCCACCACCTACTGCAGAGTCCTCCTTTCCCACCGACTCCATGTCCCCTGTGATGCGTTCTAAGTTTCCTCAAGTGCAGGCATCACCCGATGGGCTCTTCATTGGTCTGTTTTTGTGTTTCTATGTCAGTACCACACGATTTCTATACTTAGAGCTTTGAAATATATCTAACTGTCAGGGAGGGCAAATCTGTAACCCATCTGACTCCAATTTTCCCTTCTTTCTTAAAACTGTTATAGAATTCATGGATTACTACCCTTCGATAGCAATTTTAGGACGAGATTGTCAAGTCCCTGAAAAAATCCTGCTACTCTTTTTTTTTTTAATTGGAACTGCTGGAACTTTAAAAATTAATGAAACAACCAGCACAGTGGAACAGAAGCAGCACAGCACCCTGTGACTCTGAAGCCACGTGGAAAAGTCCAGAGTTCAAATCCCAAGGTCTCCCTGTGCACACCAAGGACATGCACATGCCCATTCATGTTTCTGATTGTCTGAAGCTGGGGGTGGGACCATGAAGAGAAGATCTTGTTGGGGTGCCTATCTCTCTCTCTGTCTCTATCTCTCATGGGAGAAATAATTTTTCTTTTTTTTTTCTTTTATTTTTTGAGATACTTTTGCTATAGAGTGCACACGCTCGCTGGAGAGCTAGAGACAGAGAGGCAGAAAGCGAGAAATCACCCCCCCCCCAGGCAGGATGGCCATGCCACAATCTCAATCTCCTCTTGGGATATTGGACATGCATGCACATGTACCTGGAGTGAGTTATAAGCCTCCAGGTCTGGGACTTGAACCATGGTCAACAACGTGGAAATCCAGCCACATAACTGTTATGCTGTCTGCTGGTCCCCAGAATAAAGAAACTAATAGCAGAATAGACAATTGTTGATTTTTTTTGTTTTATTCTATATTGAGTAAAAATAAGAATATTTCTAAAACTATGTATGAAGAGTAAAGAATAACACAACCAGCATCTATTCACCACCAAACCTAAGAAATGGCCCCTTGCCAGATACTTGGGAGCCTCTGTGTGGTAACTCCTGTAACTCAGGCCTCCAAGGCTGTGCCTCTGCTCTCAGTTCCTCTGTTGGCTGGCATTTGCTCATGGTGTCTGACTTCCTTGCGTGCTATATAATGTCTTGAGGGGTGAGGACACGCTCTTCAGAATGTTATCTGTGGCAATGCTCTGAAGGATGGCTGGAAGGGGAAGTTCCTCCCTGAGGGTCGGACCAACCCAGGACCACTGTAAACAACACCATCCTTAGCTCCAGCTTTTGAATCACCCAGGCCATGTAAATTAAAATTGCAAGTTCATGGGAAGGTGGGTCCTCCTCGCTCTGAGTGTGTAGTTCTTTCATGGAGGTGCAGCTTTCTGCAGGAAGTCTCCTCCTAGACTCCCCTCCTAGGGTGGCTCTGGGTTTTGCCCCTTGTCTCCCACATCCATGAACAAGGCTGTGGAAACTGAAGCTCAGTTTCGCTGGGTTTGGCAAAGGACCTTGGGGCAAATGCCGTCTTCTGGACTCTGCTGCCCTCTCTGGATTCCAGCCTTCACGTAGGTTTCGAACTCTAAGGAGTCTATTTTTTCACCAGCTCCTCCATACATTTAAAATGATGATGTCTGTTAATCCCACATTGCAGTTCCCTTCAGCAGGAGAGTTGGGTACAGCATCTCGTCTTCCATACTGAGCATTCAGGTTGCCTCCTTTTGGGTTGCTGACCACTTCAGGTAGTCTCGTCTGCGAGCCATGGCGTAACGGTTCATTAATGCAGGTCTTCCGTGTCCTTAGGGATCGTATTGCTTTTCCCTTCGTATCTTACGTGCTCGTCATTAGGTTACATTCTTTAAACCTTGGTCTGCATGATATTAAAAATAGAGGTAGTGGGAGACCAGCAGGTAGTGTGGTAGTTAAGGAACTGGACTCCCACATGGCTGACTGCAGTTCGAGTCCTGGACCTGGCAGCTTGCTTTCTCACTTTCTCTCTCTCTCTCTCTCTCTCTCTGGTGAGCACATGTGCCCTGTAGCAAATGAAAAATAAAATAATAAAATAATAGTGAAAATTTTAAATAAATCATTCTTTTTGAAAAATAGAGGTACTGAGCCATTTTTCTGATTTATGGGATTTTCCAACAACACAGAAGAGTATAGTGGAAGTTTAAAATATCATAAGGAATCTGGCATCACCAGAAGTAAGTTATTACCTTTCGATGTATGTCATTGTAAATGTGGTTCTTTTTTAAAATTTTATTTATTTATTTAACTTTATTTATTTATTATCATTATTCAGTTTGACCAGAGAGAAAGAGAGAGAGAGAAAGAAAGTGAGAAAGCAAGCTACCAGGTTCGGGACTTGAACTACAGTCAGCCATGTGAGAGTCCAGTGCATTCACCACCGTGCCACTTGCCAGCGCCATAAACATGGTTCTTATACAAGATCCATTTTTTCCCCCACATAAAAAAGTGAGGAGCTGGATCCATTTTTGCACAGAGAAGAAGGGGCTGGTGTTCATTTCAAACGGATCACCCCGCGAGCCGAGTTGCTGGAAAAAGGACTGTCCAACAGGAGTGAAGGGGAGGCTGGAGGAGGGGCCCATGGAGTTGGGGTCAGAGGGTTACCAGGAGAATGAAGAGGCCCGCGTGGTTCTGAGCTTGGGCTCAGTGCAGAGCTGGGTCCCAGAGCCCCCTCACAGGGTGGCTCCTCGTCGGGCGGCACAGACCCGAGGAGGCCCTCTGCATCTTCACGCCTCCCCTCCTCTCCTCTGCAGGGGAACTCGGGCAGCTCCCTCGTGTGCCAGCAGAATGGGTCCTGGATCCAGATGGGGGTGGTGAGCTGGAGCTTCAACTGCGGCCGCCGTCAGTTCCCAGGCATCTACACCAGCACCACCCACTTTACGCAGTGGATCAAGAAGCAGGTGTCCGACATGAAGTTCGTCAGCAGGGCCGGCCCCGCCTTGCTGAGCCCCGTCCTCCACGCGTGCTGCATGCTGCTGCTCTTCTGGGGCTCCCTGGGGCTCCTGTGAGCACGTGCCGGAGGTCCACTCCCTCGGCTCGGTCCTCGAGGGAAGCGGAGACCAGGGGTTGCCCGGGACGTCAGGGCAGCCCTTGCAGGAGGGTTCTGGAGCCACCCTTGATTTCAGCCATGCGATGAAAACACCTGTGAACTTTGAGCCTGATGTCATTTTTCTTCCAACTTTGGTGAGAGCCTTTCAGAACACCCCTCTGCCCGAAGGTCTGGCAGTCCCCTTGTGCTAGGCCTTCCCAATAGTCTTGCCCAGCGTCCTTCCGTGTTTGCCATGTGACCCTGGGAGCTTCCCCTCCATGAGCTGCCCGTTCCTCTTCCGCTAAGTGCCCACTACAGCCCCTACTTAGTCACCACAGGACTCCAGCAGCCCTCAGGTCCCTTGGCCTCCCTGGGTCTCTAAGGGACACTGTCCCTCAGGCCTTCCTACAAGGTTTGCTGGGCTCTTCCCAAGACGACCAGATGGCTAGATTGCAGGCTGTATTTGCAGGGGTGCTCCAACATCCACAGGCCTCTCACAGTCCCCCAGATCTGCCTGGGTCCACAAAGCCTGGTGTGGACAGAGCGCCCACTTGGATGACAGTGTGAAAGGACTGTACTTAGCTGCCTCAGAGACTGAGGAAGCCCGGCCCAGGACGGAGCCCTCCCCGTGCGAGGTAGTTGTGGGGGTGTCCTCAGACCTGGTGGGGTCAGAGCAGCTGGGCACCCTTACCCTCGGGACACCAGCCGTCTGCTTGACAAATATCCTGGCCCGATTCCTGCTCACCTCACCTTTTATGAGGCTAGAATTCCCCAACAGCTCGGATGGACACTCCTTGGAAGACCCCCCACCATCTTTCACACATATTCTGCCCGGCCTGGTTCCCGCGAACCCTGCTCCCCCAGGGCCACCTGTCTCCCCAGCAGGCCCCCAACTACCCAGGCTCAGACACTCCCTGAATTCCATCATTTTTTCTTTACATTTACTTATTTATTTTATGTTACTTTTATTACTTTTTATTTTGACCAGAGAGAGAGAGAGAGAAAGTGAGAAAGTGAGCTACCAGGTCTGAGACTCGAACCACAGTCAACCATGTGGAACTCTAGCACCGTAACCACCACGCCACTTCCCAGCCCCCGAATTCCGCCTTACCAAATGGCTCCCTGCTCCCACCGTGGGTGTGGCGGCTCCAACGCCCTCTCCCTGGGTGGGTGCTAGACCTCATTTTTTTTTTTTTTTAAGAGATTTTTGCTATAGGGTGCATGAGCTTGCTGGAGAGACAGAGCGAGCAAGAAATCAGCTTGGGGCGGGGGTGGAGATCCCTTCTCCATTCTCCTCCTGGGATCTTGGGTGTGCACACACACGTGCCTGGCGTAAGTTTCAAGCCAGCGGGTCTGGGACTCGAACTGCAGGGTGCCATGTGTGTCCAGCAACCTCACCATTCCTCTATCTACCAGTCCCGACCTCTGACAAGGGCCTGGGCCAAGGGGCAGAGAGCAGTCGCTGAAAGCCATGCAGCCTTTAAAATTGTCCTTTAAAATATGTTCCCTTGCTTAATTTCAGGGCCCTGGGGCCAAGTGTTACCAGGCAGAGAAGGTGGGGCCAGCTGGTGGGTCTTGATCTTACCACGGAGGGGGGCAGAGCACCAGGCCAGGGTAGTGGGCTGGGAGTGAGGGCCCCAGGGATCCCGAGGTGGGGTTGAGCAGCCCAGCCAGAGAGAGAGAAGACTGTCCCAGATGGCCGAGGCGGACCCCAAACCGGGCTGTCAGCCGGCGCCCTCCAGGACAGACCCAGTCGGGGCTGCATCACCGAGAGCTGTCGCCAGGGGCGCCCTTGCGGGACAGACGGGGAACGCCGAGGCTGTGGCCCCTGGGGGGCGCCCTCGACCACCGACGCCAGGAGCCATGGCGGGGGGCCATGGGGGGCGCCTCGTGGGGTCGGGCACTCGGAGCGCTGTCGCGAAAAGAGCTGGGATGGAGTCCCAGGGCAGGACGCAGGTCTGTGGGCAGGACCCCCAGGACCCCCAGGACTCCCCGGGAACAACTTGCCCCCCCCTGCGGCCTCCCCTCCTTTCCCCTTCCACCTCCCCTGCGCACGCCTTCTCTCCGCCTCCCCTCCCTTCCTCTCCCCTCCCCTTCCCTCCCCCTCCCCCTTGCCCACCCCCTTCTTGCTCTGCCCTCTCTCTCCCGCACCTCTGAGCCTCCCTGTACCCTCTGCAGGTTGCTTGGGTGTGGGCAGAACCCCAGGGGCACTGCCCAGGGCTGCCCGACCTGGTTCCCGCGAGCCCTGCTCCCCCAGGGCCACCTGTCTCCCCAGCGGGCCTCTCCTGCAGCAGGCCCCAACTACCCAGGCTCAGTCCCCCATCACCCAGACGCCACCAGTGACCACGAAGCTGTACCCTTCCTCCGTGAAGACAGAGCCCCCCACCACCCAGCTGCAGCCGCTCACTACTAGTGTCAAACCCAGCTTGCGCCCACGTGAGTAGTGGGTGAGGAAGGGTGTCGGAACCTCAGGGGCCTTGACCCCCACTTACTGTGGGAGACGGACAGTGGCAGTGTGGCCTGTCCTCAGGCCTCCTGGGAGCCTGGGACAGGTCCCACGTCCTGCCTCCCTGAGCTGCCATGGCACCTGGAGCAGGCCGCCAGCCAGGGCCCAGGGCCCTCCAGCACAGCTTTTGGGGGGGCACGTGAGCCTCTTACGGCATCTCCAGGCCACACCTGTAGGACGCTGTCCCCAGGGCTGGCTCTTCAGCCTGTCACTGAGACCCACGTAAGAAACACTTCCGGTCCTGGGACTCGGTTCTTACAACCTGACCACCACTCAGCAAACAGGACTGGCGGGCTGTGCCCCTGGCGTGCTCTGCCCTGACTCCTGCTTTGAGAGCGCTGGGCATGGCCGGCTTTCTCTGAGGGCTCCACCCACTAATCCACTTAGGAGACACCCGGGGGTGGGACCACGGGGTGCTGGACGGGCTTCTTCAGGGTTAAACAGGGCTCCAAAGTGCTGGCTGCAGCCACACTGGCCCAGCAGCAGGGAGGCCATCCAGGTCTTAGTCCTCACTGGAGCTGGGCCAGGCGGGCAGTGGGGACACAGCTCCTGTCACCTGGGCCTGCATTTCCTGAGGCCCGTGGAGCTGAACAGCTTCTGCAGTTGTCTGCGACGGGGCTTCCTCCTCGGGTGTGCCTGTCTGTACACAGCGCCCTACTTCCTTTGGGTCACCCAGATAGCTCTCATTAGCTCACAGGAGGGCTTCTCGGAGGAGGGAGGGGGCGGCCTTGGCCGAAGTCAGGGTGCGGTGAGGGTGGAACCAAGAGGGAGCACGCACAAGTTCACAAGGGTCTGACTGGCGCTCAGGGGTGTGTACAGGACGCAGAGCCCAGTGGGCACCAGCTGGGCTGGTGAAGCAGGAGGACGCCGGCGGGAGCAGGGGAGGGCTGCCCGGCAGTAGGGCCTCGCGAGCACCCCTGGAAGAGCATGGGCAGTGGCCAGGAGTGGGAGGGGACGGGAGGGCCCCGGTGTGGCC